ATCCCCAGCTCCGCGCTTCTTCGGGGTCTGCGGCGCAAGGATGGAGGCGGCCGGGCAGGAGCCCTGGAGCTCAGACTCGCTGGTAGCAGGCGGTCCTGGGGTGTTTGCTGCACCCCAGGAAGTCTGGGGTTGAGCTGCGGCACGGCTGCCCTCGGGGAACATGAGCAGCGGGCTCTGCTCTCTGCCACGGGGAGAGGGATGAAGCCTGGCTTGGGATGGTGGCATGGGAATGTGCAGTGCAGGGCAGGGCCCCGCACCTTCATGGCAGCCCTGCAGGATAATAAATGAACAGGGCTGAACAAGCGAGGTAGCCCTTTTGCCCACTGGCATGGATAGGTCATCCCAGATGGGCTCTCCTTCCCAAAAAACACGAGGAGTTACTGCTGGCGCAGCCCTGCCAGTACGGCGTACACCAGTAGGAAGAACCAGCTCAGGCTGTTCCTCACCGGGGCAGAGCACAGCTCTCAATTCCCCCAACTCTGTATTTAAAGCCCTGTTTTGGAGAGATGAAGGCAGGTATCAGGCAGCCCTGCGCTGCCCCTTCACCCTGACCAGGGGTAAGGACGGGCTCTCTGGTAGGAGCTGCGCTCAGCAGGCGTTTGCCCCCCTGCCTGGTCTCCCTCCCTCTCAGCTGCCCCAGGGAGAAGGAGCCAGACTCAGGGCCCGCAGGAAGCCCTGCCTGCAGGCAGAAGGGCTGCTGGGTCAGGCCACGGGGTGCCAGGTCCTGGAAAACCTATCATGGAAGCTGGGAAAAGGGAGTACACGCTGGCCGGTCTCTGCTGCGAAACCTTTTGTACAGTCGCTCCTTCCCTTTGTCAATAAAAGAGGCTGATCACTCCGTGCTGCCCTCCAGCTCCTTGGCAGGGAAGGGGCCCCGGTTTTCCGAGCTGGAGACAGGAAGGTCGCTCGGGGAGGGGGGGGAAGGAAGAAGGAAGCAGGACGTGGCCCTGCTCCAGCCTCCGCTTACAGAGAAATCGGCAAAGGCCCAAGTGCTGCCCGCACCCCGAGGGCCCCCAGCCCCGTTGCTGCAGGGGGTGAGATGCACCCGAAGCCCACGTCCCGCAGGTCAGCACCAGGAGCTCTCCGAAGCGGGACTGCGCCAAGGAAGAGCCCATGAGCAAGACATTCACACCAGCCTGAAAGCGTAATTTATTTTAACAGGGCAAAAGACGTGCTGAGTGCCACACAGAAAGCGAGTGGCGCAGCACATTCAGTCCCGACGCCACAAGCCACAGCCAAGAGTCTTTCACGCCTGGTTATAACTGTCTCTGTCTAATGAAGGTCCTTCCTCCATCGCCAGAGGCTTTGGGTAGTTCAACTTGCTGGTGCTGAGCCTGTGACCGTCACCTGTCTGTCAGTCCCCGCTCGGTTCAGAAAACGGTCACATCAAACCTGCCCTTGCAGGCAAACCTGAGAAAAAGGGGCAGTCACTGCACATCCATCTTTTCCTGCTTGAGCGATGCAATGAAATCCTTGTATTCCTCAGGATAGAAATTCTTGTACACGTTGATCTTTCTCTTAATTTGCTTGGGAGTATCCTGGTAGTAGTTCTTCTCATCTAGAGCCATTTGCTGTGACAAAGGAGAGGTTAAGTCAGAGGAGTGGCCCCAAGAGCAAACACCAGCCCAGCCCAGACACGCTCGGAAGGCCCACGCGGGCCGGCTGTGATCTCTGCCTGACTCAGACAGGGATCTGGCCAAGGTTCAAAGCGCTCCTTCCCCTTAACAATCAGCTGACTGTGAAACAGGATCCAGGACAGAGAGGATTAGCGATTTCCATCCTGCAGACGATCCAGGAGTGAATCACTCCGGGTGCTCCTCGCTCTGGGACAGCCAGTACTTACCTTGTAGTTCTCTCCGTGGTTCTGTATCATGTACCGCACATAGTCAATGAGGTCTCGTGAGAGCGTGTTTGACTTCTTCTCGGGGAGACTGGCCTCGTATTCCATCTCTAGGCAGAGGACACAGACACCATGAAGCAGGGGAGGGAAGCAAGCAGCACCTCAGAGGTCCCCAGCCTCTTCCCGACATCGAGCCCTGCCAGTGCTGCGGAAAGGAGGTGGCTCCTGCACCCAGCTCCGCTGCTCACACACACAGGGCTGCGCCCCAGCACGATTGTGCAGGAAAACGAACACGATGACAGCCCTCAGCACAGGCTGCAGGCATCCAGGCCCGCGCTGCAGCTCCTCTCCAGCTCACACCATGAGGAGCGGAGCCTTTCTGCCCAGCCCACCACTAAAACACGCGGGATACCGCAGCCACGGTTTCTTGTCACCCTGGTGCCCCACACCAGCATGTTTCAAAGGGACCAGAGTCCTCTTGGGGCTGCAGGTAGAAACACTGTGGAAAAAAGCAGCACAAGGAGGGAAAAGAAAATCCGTAAGACAGAGGGCACACGGGAACGGCAGAGCTGCTGTCCTGGCTCTTGGCTCAGGTCCGGCCTGGCTGGGAACCCCCAGCTGACTGCTGGGGTACTCCTCTACAAGCCCACAAGCCTGGACGAGAATTAACGGCCCCTGGCACAGCACACCAGCTAAGGATGGTCTGGCAGCACAAAGATGAGAGACGAAATAACGCACGGGCCTTGGGAGAACCCCAAATGCAATGGCAGGGGTGTGGTTCAGCACCCCCGCCGAGGCTGGAGGTGGGGAAGCGCTCCCTGGGGAGGGCAGAAGCAGCACTGACCGTTCACCACGTAGGGCTTCCGCACTATTTTCTTTCCTTGCTTCCATCCATCGCTTCCCACTTCCACCCCCTGTGTTAAACAGAAAGAAGGCAACTCAAGAAAAGCCCATTTGGAAGAGAGCTGTGTCCCCACATGCTGCTCCCAAAACTCCAAACTGCTTATACAACAGCTGCAAGGCTTAAACAGAGCCTTAGCTGCAACATTACGCTAGCCCGTGGGCAAGCCAGTTGCCTGAGCAATGCTGTGTGAACAGAAACAAGTGGCAAGCACGGTCACTGCTGGTTTTTCTCACGAGCGTGATGTTTCGTGGGGCCACCTTTCGCCTGGAAGCGTTGCCCGCTGACGCAGGCAGGCCAGGCTGGCGCTTCTGTACACAGAGGCTTTTTTTCTTATTAAGAGCAACTCAGCTGCAGCGTTCCCAACCCCACCTCTCTCTGGCAAGTCCCAGGAGATTGAGTAACGTTATTTATACTGGTACAAAAGCCCATTATTTCCCCGTGACACCTTAGCTCATTCCCATGCCAGGATCTTGGCCAGAAAAGCGTTATCGATAAAGAAACCCATCCGCCTACAAAGGCTGATCCGGAGCCACCTGACCCAGGCAGGCTGCTCTCCACGCTGCTTTTCCCCAGCCCGGCTGCGTGTCCCCGGGGGAGGCCTGGCCTTCCACCCCCCCGCAAAGGAGCACCCCCCCGGTCACGCTTACCACCAGCTTCTTGGGGATGGGGACGGCCTTGTTGGGATCCTCGGCCAGGCCCATCTCGGCCAGGTTCTGCGCCACCGACTTGCTCGGGTCCCAGGCATGGCGGATGTGGGAGCTGTGAGGGGACAGGCACCGATATCACGGGCTGTGCTCACCCTCCCCACAGACACCCGCCCGGAGCGGTACCGGGTCTCCCCGGAGCACCCGCTCCCACACGGCCCCGCGTCCCCCCGCCCCCGCGGCCCTCACCAGGCGATGCGCGGGGCGGCGCGGCGGCGGGCGCTGCGGTAGAGCCGCTTGCG